AGAGGGATTGCTGGATCATATGGTAGATCAATTCTTAGTTTTTTGAGGAAATGCCATAATGTTTTCTGTAGTGACTGTACCAATTTGCAGTCCCGCCAGCAGGATTTATGTCCTTTTAAATGTTCTCATTACCATTTTAACGAGACCTAAAAAGAGGGAGGAGTTAAACTCATATTCAACCTTCCATCTAGAACTGAAATTCCTGCTTTCTATACCACTTATTTAATTCACTCTTCGTATCAAGGTAGTTTTCTGCTTACGGAACTAGATTTTTAAAAAGGCACAGCTAGATTTTAATCTAGAATGGGGAAGGGATCATGTTTCATTCTTTGTATTTCGGAGCCGAGCCCCACATCTTCTATGAGGTCGGTGCTCAGCTAGTGTTGATCGACTGAGTCGGCTTTAGCGTTTAAGCTTCACTACCTCCATGTTCATCTGTCCTCACACGGTAATTTCTCACGGAATGGATGCGCGCATCTGCATCTCTGTTTTAGGGCCCTTTATATTTTCAGTCTTGACGATGCGTTTCTGTGAGATTCGAAAGGGTACGAAAATATGGTAAGCGCCCTATGTGGAAAGATTTATGGTCTGTAAGGCGTCTTCGCAGTTGGAGTTCTCTGGGCTTACTTTTCTTCCAGGTAAGAGCATAACCCTGGCATTTTATTCTCCCTTCTCTCTTGCTTTTTTTGGTTCGCTGGAGAGAGTAGGCTATTTCCTCTTGTAAGTTCCGGAATTCCTTGAGTTAGGGGGCACCCTGCTCTCCTTCCGCATGGCCGTGAACATGCGGGTGTGCACACGTGCACGTGCACCCCGCCCCATACGCTGGTATACTCTGGACATTTTCCCCCTCCGAAGAAAACTAAATTGGTGGTTTCTTTTCATCCAAATAAAAACCATCAGGCGGGGCAGCATGACATGGCCCTTAAATCCCATAGGTCACATTTTTGGCAAATGGCCATGTCCTGTAACTGTTATTCCCATGATGTCTGGCTTACTCATCGTCTAGTGCATGACATTTTCTTGGTCTTGGAATGTTCCATCTCTATTAAATGGGGAGGGAAAAAAGTCATTCTTCTACATTGTAAGTGGGGGGAAAAAAATATACCGTGGAGACTTTTCTCATCAAACTGTAGAGGAAGAGAAATTGCCCGCCCTGTTGATGTCTCACCAGGGGAGAGAGCTGGTCCAGGACGGAACCAGCTCAGGAGGAAACCTGGAAGAGTCTTTGCTACTTTGTAGTTTGTACTTGAAAAAATTCATTTATATGCTTTTCCTTTTTGTGCTTCAGTGACTAATAAAACTACCCGAATTAGTTCACATCTATTCAACACGATTTCTGCATAGAGTAAAATTTAACAAAAGCTTAATTCAGCACATTTAGAATTAGACAATATTGTAGGAAGAACATGGATTTTGGAGCTAAGAAAGATATAACTTTGAATAATAACTCTGCACTGCTCTCTATCTATCATCTATCATCTATCTATTATTGTGGTAAAATAGATAAATATAAAATTTACTACTTTAACCATTTTAAGTACAGCTCAGTAGCACTTAAGCACACTCACAATGTGGTATGACTATCACATTTACAGACCTTTCATTATCCCAAATTGACACTCTGTCCCCATTAAGACGAACTCTCCATTCCTCCCTCCCCCCAGCTCCTAGGACCCTGTATCTTACTTTTTGTCTCCATGAATTGTATTTGCCTATTCTAGGTACCTCCTATAAGTAGAATCTGACAATGTTTGTTTTTTTAGGTCCACTTTATTTCACTTAGCATAATGCTTTCAAGGTTCATCCATGTTGTAGCATGTGTTAGAATGTCCTTCCTTTTTAAGGCTCAATCCATTTGTATGTATGTACCAGATGTCGTTAATTCATTCATCTGTTGATGGGTATCTGAGTTGTGTCCACCTTTTGGTTCTGGAGAATGCTGCTGCTTTGAACATCGGTGTACAAAATTATCTGTTTGAGTTTCTGCTTTCACTCTTTTTGGGTCTACACCCAGAAGTGGGGGTGCTGGATCATGCGGTAATTCTATGCTTAACTTTTTGAGGAATCATCAAATTGTTCTGCATCAGCATCATTCAAAGATGAAGAAAATGAGGCTCAGAGAGGTTAAGCCATTAGCCCAAGGTCACACAGCTGGCCTCTAAAGAGAGTTATTTAGGTGAATAAGGATGGCATACGCTTAGATAGTGCCATAAATAGGCTCTCAATAAATGTTTATTCTCTTTTGATGGCAAATCAGGTAAAGTGGTCTAAAGTTTAAGTTTACTTAAGAGTCCACACTTTCTCATTTTCTTTATAGATACCACAAAAACAAACAATTCTCCTACTCTTGGCTAAAGTGATTCAAGAACCTTCTTATACCTCAGAAGCGCCTTCCAAGGAATGCATGTGCTAATCAAATATTCTCAGTCGTTTTCTGCTTGGGTGGACTTTGGTAGCTGTAGTTAATATAGTTTGGGATTCTTGAGAGTAAGAGAATTGTCTTATACATTATTTTCATGTAGAATTTTCACTAACGAAGAGTAACCTGTCCCCTTTCTCCTCCCCAATCCCAAATAAAAACTAGTGACCCCAGCATGATCCGTGGCTAGGCAGACTGAACAGGAGGAAAACTAACTGTAAGGTGTGTGAAGTTCAGTTTGGAGGCCCTGTTGGCCTTTCTTTGTCACAGGCCTTGCCCTTTAGTGTCCACCCTTAGACCTTCCCTCTAGGTGACAAACGGCCTTTCTCCTCTGCCCATAGGTCAGCCATGGGCCACTTAGGTCGGTAAGATCGGAAATCAAGCTGTTACCTGTCCCAGGAGTAATTACATCTAAACTTAGTTCTGATAGAGGAATAAAAGTCGTATTGTAGAACTCCCGCCACACCGATGGGTGTCGCGTTTTGGGGATTAAGGGTGGGACAGCCTCCTGCAGTACTACCCAGGTCACGCCTCACAGCACAGCTGCTTTGAATACTAAGGACCGATGTGCCTACAGGGCTTCCTGACTTAGGAAGTTAAATTGGACGAAGCTGCCAAGTGAGGAACAGTTCCGGAGAAGTCAAAACCTCTGTTCTCTTCCTGTCGGGCCAGGAGGAAATTTATTTTTTCCTGAAAAAGAGTGAGAATCTAAAACACCAACCTAAAACACTCCTAGCCAAGGGAACTTTGAAAAGCGGAAGGCTGGGGAGGAGAGGGGCGATGGTCTTGCTTTTGGGGTGTGGAGGAGACTAAACAGGAGCATTTCCCCCCACACGCTGAGACACAGGAAGACCCTGTTTTGTTCTTTTTCCAGTAAGTGTAGTTCCCAGGCTTTCCACAAGATGGCGCAGAAACTCCTCTCACAGCCTGTGCTCTGAGGCCTGCCGGTAGCCTCTGCCAGCCTCCTGGGATTGATTGATAAACTGGTTAGCAGGGCGAGATGAAATCTGCACTGTGGCGAAGATACCTTTTGACGTCTTAAACATCCAGATTGAATATTCAATTAAAAGTGGATTGAGTCCCTAATAAATTAGATGAAATTACTGATGTGTACGAGGGCTTAAAGTAAGACAGGGAAGCAAAAAAAAAGGGGGCGGGGGGGCATGAGCGAGACGCGGTGTGAGGTGATGAGAAGCATCTCACGTTCCCTGTTCTCCGAGAATCTTGAAGCCGAACTGGGCATCTGTTCGTGCATCCTATTGGGCCTGTGCCACAGAAAGCACCAGTCTGGGTGCTATGCAGACAGCAACCAGGTGAGCTCCCAGCCTTTAGAGAGCTTGCACACTCTTAGGAGGATTAGACAACACATTAGATAAGAAAAGTAAGTACTGTGCCAGATGGTGACACGCGCTGCGGGAAAAATATTCAACCCCAGGAGTGGAGGAGGAGGGCAACATTTTTAAATCGTGTGGCTCCTCTGAGAAGGTGACATTCCAAGAAGACTTGAAGGGTTACTGGGGAAAGCCACGGGATTTCTGGGGAAAGTGCACAGTGAAGGCAAAGCTCCTGAGGCAGAGTCAAGGAAGAGCGCGGAGGCCAGTGTGGCTGCAGAGTGAAGCAGGGGAGGGGTTAGGATGTGAGTCAGAGATGCCGATGAGGCGGAACAGGGGATTTCGAAGCAGAAGGATCCTACAAAACTCTAAGATATTATAAGCACTTTGGAGCCATTGAGGATTCTGAATAGAAAAGTGACATGGTCTGGCTTACATTTTAAAACGATCATTCTGGCTTCTGCATTGAGAAGGGGCGGGAGGTAAAGCACGGAGACCGGTCAAGGGGCAGTTGCGATGAGATGCTGGCGGCCTGGGCCGGGGTGTCGACAGTGGAAAGGGAGAGAAGAGGTCAGACTTTGGATGTGTTTTCAATCGATAGGGTTTGAAGGTAGAGCGAATGAATGTTTGAGGGAAGGAGAGAGACCGACGATGGCTGCAAATTATCCCCCGAGCATCCGGGAAGATCGGATTGCCATTAAGTGAGTTGATCTAGAGGAGCAGGTTCTCTGGGGGAAAGATCAGGAGCTCCGGTTTGGATATGCTGAATTCGAGGGGCCCCGGAGCTGTCCGAGGGGAGACGTTTTAACATCTGCGAACCTGGAATTCACAAGAGGAGCCTGGGCGGAACTGTAACTTCACGGGAGGGGTCTGGCGTGTCTGCAGGTGTTTGAAGGCATAGGCTGGAGTGAGACTGAGCAGAGAGATGAAGTCCAAGGGCGGAGCCATTGTTTAGGAGTTGTGGAGTTGGGGAGGGTCCGGCAGAGGTGACAAGAGGTTGGACCGGTGAGGTCACAGGAAACTTGAAGAGTGTGTAGCGCCTGGGAGCCAAGGAGGAGGGAGAGATCAGCTGCGTGCACTGCGTGACTGTGCCACACACAAATCACTGCCACGCAGGGCTTCTCTGCCTCGGCACTGCAGGCGTCTGGGGCTGATAATCCCTTGTGGTGGGGAAAGTCTTGTGCCTTGTAGGGTGTGTAGCAGCACCTTGGCCTCTACTGACTAGGTACCAATAGCGCCTCCCTCCCAGTTGTGACAATCAAAAACGTCTTCAGACATTGCCATAGGTCCCCCGGGGGACAAAGCCACCCTGATTGAGAACCACTACCCTCACCCAAGCTCTGAAGAGCTAATGTTCAGGGGAAGGAAATCTCTCCTAACAGAGGGGAGATGAAGCTTCCAGAGAAGCTGACAAGTTTGCGTCTGACTTTACCGGTTGGGTAGCGGGCTGAGGAGAGTAGCTGAGGACAAAGGCATCCCAGTCAGGAGATTCCT